AATTTAAACGAGTAAGGCTCAAATATACACTCATTTAGTTTATAGTGTAGGTTCCGCAACGAACCATTCTGATTGGTTATTTATTAAATTTTATAAAACATTCACTTAGTAACGCCCATGAGTCTTTGCGATTTTCCTTCAGTCATTGGTCGGTTCACGGCCATGTATCCTGAGCGTGTGGTCTAGTGGTTTTGAACTATAATTTTAATTTCAGATACTTATTATAAATATTTATAGAAAACGAATTCATGCCTTTATACACAGTACCATATTTAAAATAATTTAATATGGGAAACCTTCTGATTATAGCAAAAATGGAACTTTCAGAAATACTAGTCTTTCCAGATAATGTTTATGTTTCCAGGTCTTAAAATTATTACATTATTTTTTTTAAACAAAATGCAAACTTAAATTTTGGCAATTATAATTGGAATATTTTTTCCTGGAAGAATTTCGTCCATTTTACTCATGGAACGTCTGCGGCGCCCGGGGCATCTATGGCGACCGCTGCGCGTCTATGACGCCATTTGCGCGCTGTGGCGAAGTCCGAGTGTCTGAGCGTCGCGCATTGACGCCCATAACTAGACATAATAATAAGAATAAGTTATTAATTGCCCATTACAATCATACAAATTAATTATTGATCAGAAATAATAATACTAGAGTATTCAAATTTGGGGGTTGTGTTTCATTTGGGAGATACTTTTTTCCTGATTGTGTTCCATGCAGTGCATTTTAGTAACAAATGATATTCATTATCAATTTCTTGCAGGCACAAATGACAAATACGGCCCTCGCTAGGGATATTATTATGTCTACCTTCTATTTCCAAGGGATGGCACGCACAACTTAATCTTGCTATTGCTTTGCGCATTTTAATTGTGGCAATGACACATAGTTTTCAATCCCAAAATGTGTTTTGTATAGCCTATAATACTGCATTTTTTCGCCAGAACAAACGTCTATATACCAATATGTAATTCCAGTATCTTTGACCCGTTCACAAAATTTGTACAAGAACATATCAGAGTCCCCCACCCCTTGATTAAACCAGACATAACCAAATTCATATTTAAATAGCAATTCTTTAATTTCTGTGGCCCATGACCTTTGTCCTTTTTTGTCCAGTGAAAGTAGCATCCGGTAAGCTTTGTGAGGTAATCTGTTTTCATCCATGCTAGTAATTTTTTAACCAATATTTCACACATCTTTTAACATGGTAACAAAATAAGGGTAGCCATCCCACAATCCCCTAATACTGTACAAGTTGGAGCATTTTTACGTACACCGAGGTATTGCCTACAATGAGACGTAAGTACACTTTCTAAATTTAATATTGACCATAACCCCAGATTTCAGACCCATATTTAAGTACAGGTTGAATTAAGGTGTCAAAAATCTTAAAATACAAGTCTACTTTAAAACATTGCATATTGCCTAAATATTTTTTGACGGCAATCAGTTTCTTTTTGCCTTTTGTAGGTAAATTTTCAGTGGTAATATTAAAAGAGCATTTACATGACATTACCAAGCCCAGGTATCCATATGAACTAACAGTACTAGGTTGCTTGTCCTCGAAATACCACTTTTCATTTTTACTGAGATATCCCCCATATTTCTGTATACTACAATTTTAGTTTTATTTAAGTAGATATTTAGATCCCACTTGTTTGTAAACTCATACAATATACTTATTAATTTTTTCAAGCCCAAAACAGAATTTGAAAATAAAGCAATGTCGTCAGCATACAATAATGAAAACATGTCGTTCGGGATCAATTGTACTCCTCTACACTCAGAGTGATCCAACATGCTTTGTAGCTCATTAATGTAAAATGAGAATAAAATAGGGCTGATTATGCACCCTTGTCGAACCCGTTTCTTCAATTCAAAGAATCTCGAAGAGGCTCCTCCTTCACGAACACATGATTTGACATTTTTCTAAACCCCTGTTAACCGAGTCAAATGCCTTCTGGAAATATATATAGAGACAATACAATTTTCCCCCTTTCCTGGCTATCTGTTTCTGAATTATGGCATATAATGTAAATACTTGATCAATAGTTGAATAACCCTCTC